GCGGACTGCGTACTTGAGTACTTTTCTTGAAATTTTGGGCTTTTTTTTCCCCCCCTCACAAGTTTTGTGCATGGGTCCTGGGGACCATCTCACGCAGATGTGTACATGTCATGCATCATCTTCACATGCAGTGATCAATAGTCTCAACCATAGACAAAGGTAGAGAAGAAGAGGACCGAGTTTCACAGCTTATATTATCAGAAATATGATTACAAAGTGTTTCAAGGTTCCCCTGAGTCCAGCGCTCATCAGCGCAACACAAATCTCTGTTCATCTCATCCGTATGGCTTCCAAGGCATCAGCGCTACCCCTGCAGATTGTCTCCCAGTCATCAATATGGTCACAACTCATTAGCGCCACCTCTGCAGTTCACAACCAACTCAGGTAAATGTCTCCCATAGCCAAACCTTGAATGAACACTCTATATCTCAGTCCCTTCCTCTTACGATGCATACACATTCTCTACTCATGAGGATCTACTCTGAATACTACTCATAGCTAAATACTAACCCTTCTACTACTAGTACTAACTCGCTGGGCAGCTATGGCTGCATCACTTCCAGCGTACAGGCATCTCCTTCATTCAGAGCATCTTCTACCTCCAGTGCTGCTCCTCCTGACTCAGCGCACAAGTGCACCAGCACTTCCACGCATTGCAGCCAGTGGAGATCTGGCGAGGAATGAGGCTGGCAGCTTTCTTTATAGTGCTGGCCGCTCCTCGCTGGGTCTGCATTGGCTCAATTCAGCCTATTCTTTGTCCCAGACCCTGCATTGCATGTGTCCCAGCGTAGTCCCAATGAGGTTCGACTGCTGCTGAGGCCTCTCGGTCTAGATTTGGACTTCAAAGTCTGGATCTGGACTGACCCCTTGACTTAGACCAGAACTGGGACTGTGCCTATTGACTTTACTTTCGGACAGGCACAACTCTTAAACGAACAGACACATTTACTGCCTGAACAGACACTCTCCTTTTGCACGAACAGGTACACTGTCTGCACGTACAGACACTCTTACCCGAACAGACATGACATACACAGCTCCTGGTGAACAGGTAAGTCTTTTGACAATGCCCTTTGCCTTAGATTTAGATGTGCCTGTTGATAGAGAACTTGACCTTTGACCTGTTTTCACGTTTCTGAGCCCTGGCGAGATACCTTCTCACAATGCTTTACTTTTTCAAGGCCCGTGCTGCTTTACTTTTACAAGGCCTGAGGCCTATATCGGGTAAAGGCCCTTTTATTTGCATTTCAAAAATATTCGCACAGCAGACGAGTTAGTGCACCACACAGCGTAGAGCGGACTGCGCAGGTGCGCTGACCAAGTATGACTTCATGTTTCAAGTTTCAACACAATATATATGCGCAGGTGAGACGGTTTGTCAAAGAGAAGGAATTTGAGAATGCATGCCTCCGTTACTACCGCACCGATCTGGACCATCCAAATCAGCCCAGCAGACTCTTACCGGGACCACATCAGCACAAGATCGTCCGGGTGGGACAACAGGCATCCCCAACCAACACAAGACCATCCGGTACCAGATGTGGCACCAACTTAGGCTTCTTATGTGGAACAGAGGAAAGAACATAGGGGAGCTTTAATAAAGTTTAAACTTTAAACTTTAAACCGCACGATTTTAGGAAATGCACGGGCTAATACAGGAGTGCCCAAATTCATCCGACTAGAAACGTTTCTACTCTATTTTTTCCGCGGCCGATAGCTGGGCCAAGTACTGGTGGTTTAGAGCCCTTATTACTAGTTATTAACTTATCAAGTTATTAGGCGTTATCCATCGCTAATAAGATAACATATACTACTAAAAACAAGATGTCATGAAATCAACAGTCTCCCCACCAATAGACGGAGCGTGTGGAAAACAAAAACAAACAAGGACTTCACATCGATGGCTCCAGCAGCTGCCTCTCAGTTCCTCGCCAGGATGCTTATTCGGGCGACGCATTTTATTCCATTCTTTGATCTGCTCTGCTGGCCCTGATAATTTGCTCTGGCTGAGGTTCGACTGATTTCGAGGATGAGGGTTGGGGTTGGTTAGGTATATAATGGGGCAAGGCATGAAGAAACGCCCCATCTCTTGGTGTTGATCCCTGATTCCTCCTGACGAGTCTGTTCGCGGCACAGACGAAACCCGTCGAGGGTTTGCCGTGGTACTCTTGGTTTTGATTGAAGCTGTTCGAGTTTCTATTGAAGCTACAGAGTAATGTTCAGTGTGGTTTTCAGTATCAATCTACGTTAAGTTGTTAACGGATCGGACGCCCGGGACCCCCTTGGCCGTTCGGGTTTGTCCGATCGGACAACCGGTCGGCCGTCCGCCCGGGGTCCTACATCCGATCCCAAAGCAATTTTTTTTTTTGGTGGGGAGGGGCAGGGGACAACTTTGGCGCACAGGGGTGGGCTGTGGGTAGGGTGAAGCGGGGGGCCTGGCGGGAGAATTTTTCAGAGGCCGGTAGGGCCTCAGAATTCGAAATAGAAAACGGCCCAATCTGGGCTGTCCGATCTGCGAGATCGATGGCCCAGATTGGGCGGTTTTCAAATTCGAACATGGGGGCCTGGGCGGCCTCCAACGAGCACGTCTTGGACCACGCTGTCAGGGGAGTTCGGTGTTGCCGTTGCCAAACTCTGCGCCGTCCAGCGCAAACCCACGTGCCATCGTCGTTGAGTGCCAGGTTAGCCACCTCCTCCTCCTCCTCCTCCATCCGCCTCTCCTCTTCTTCTCCTCCTCCTCTTCGTTTTCTCCCTTTCGCACTTCAGTCTCCACCTCCTTCTCTTCTTCTTCCTCCTTCCTTTGTTCCTCCTCCTCCTTTTCCTCCTTCTCCTCCTCCTCCTCTTCACCGTCCTCGTCGTCCTTCTCCTCCTCCACCTCCTCTCCTTGTCCTCGTCCTCCTCCTCCTCTTCTTCCTCCTCCTCCTCCTCCTCCTCCTGCTCCTCCTCCTCCTCCTGCACCCCGTCCTCCACATCCTCTTCTTCCTCCTCCTCCTCCATTGCCGTGCCCTCCTCCTCTTCTTTTCGTTCCTCCTCTTCTTTGTCCTCCTCCTCCTCCGTCTCCTCCTCTGTCTCCTCCTCTTCTTCCTCCTTTGTCCTTGTCGTCCTCCTCGTCCACCTACTCCTCCCCCTCCTCCTCCTCCCGTCCCCTCCTTGTCCATCGTCGTGGTGTCCACCTCCCCCTTCTCTTCCTCCTCTTCCTCCTCCATCGCCGTGGCATCCTCCTCCTCCTCGTCTTCTTTCTCCTCCTCCTCCCCCTCCTCCTCTTCTTCTTCATACTCGTTGTCCTCCTCGTCCTCATGATCCCTCTCCTCCTCCAACACCT